CATCATGCTTTCAGTAAATGGTTACTTATTTATAATCTCAAAATACTGCTTGTGTTTTACCACAAAATTTATAAACTAACACTAGGACACCAGTCACGTTTTTCTTATGTATTTGTAGTGCATCAACTCTAAAAATTGTCAAAATGGAAAAAGTAATAAAACCGAATAATGGCACCACAACAATTAACGGCGGACACTGGTTTCTTAAATGACAGTCATGACAGAAAAAAAATTATAACGAAATTCAAACCGTCAATCATAAACAATGCAAAAAAATACTAAACCCTTACGCGCGAAATTTCAAGTGATCATCACTTCTAATGAATTCACCCGGAATATATATTAAGTAACAGTTGCTAAGTTGTTCATTATGCAACCGTATGATATAAGAACGTTTAGACGTGGCAGTACAGGGTGACAGTGTGGGTTTTGTTTACGACATAGGATAGAAAAAGTTGTTTTATGCCCCAAATGGTAATTAATAATAGCAGTCACAGTCATTATAGTAAAATTTTCTTATGTTCCAGTTCATGTTTTACACAATCAATCGTAAAACCACGAAACTAATTAAGAGAACAATCTAGGTTAATGTACTTTGATGACTATCCTTTAAAATAGAATGGTACTTGGAAAACATGAAAATATCGAAATTAGGACCTACAAAGCCGTGTAGAATATAGCCTATCTATAATTAATGTTTACGTAAATGCAATTCTCTGTTCTAAAGCGTTCGCTTCGTACGTTTTTGGTGATGCTTTGGTCGAAGATCCTTATTACGCGCTATATTCTAAAAATGTCGGTTTAAGTTTGCACTTTATACTACCAGCAATGGTAATAAACCAATAAATAACTTGTCTAAATAATACTAGTGTTCAAATAGAGAGGCTTCCTCTCGGTAAAATTAGACGCCGATATGAGTGAAGGGGCCGAAATGAACGACAGGAGGGCGACAAGAAGGGCAACCCCACTCGTCACGCGGCCAGTCAGCGCTAGATAATACACCCCCATATTTGCTAAATACAGGACCTTCATTGATGTTTTTTCAATGAGAATTAGGATTATGTAAGTGTACGTATCCAAAACCCTGTCGATCGATTTTATTTAACATATCGAAAAGAAGAATATGATTTAATAGCGGCTTCTGACGGTTACAAACATGCGAACATTTTGGACGGCCAAATATGTCCACATTTTATTGCGGTTCAATTACATTCTTTTCATACGTTCATACGTTTTATTTTTCAGTATTGATCAACAAGTGGGGATTAGGTAGCTGATATCTTCCTTTCACTATAGGTGACACGCATTACAAATCTCTTGAAAATTGTAGTAAGTACCGAAGTATTAGCATATAAAGGATCAAGCACCCTAACTTGTGCCATGCTGCATTTTTAGTTTTAGAATATTTCGAAAAACAAATATATTTCAAAATTAAGCTCAATTACATACTGGAAACGACTATTGTGGTTATGGGGGCTTTTATTGTTCACAGACAGTCTGTGCCTTTTGGTTCTAGATTTAATGGGGAAATCAAATGTGCGCTAAGTCAAATGTCTTTGGCGCCCCCCCTCACAACCTCTTTACACTTTTTTTAATACTTAAACGG